GTTAACTGTCTCAATGGGGGCCGTTGTGAACATTTTAGGGGTTGTCATTAACATTTTAGGGGTTTTTATTTTTATCTATTTATTTATTTCATTTTTTAATTATTATTATTATTTTTTAGGAGCTGTTATGATGTTATGAATATTTTGGGGTTGTTAGAAACATATGGGGGTTTTATGATGTTATGAATATTTTGGGGGGCCATTATAAAGATTTTGGAAGCCATTAAGAAACTTTTGGCGGGCGCACCCTATGTTTTTAAATACACAGTGACTCTTTACATGAACCCTAAAACAACAAAAACCACCCCGAACTCACACTAAACTCAATTCAATTTCAATTCAATTCAATAAACGGCCTAGAAGTCCCTCCACCTCTTCAGATAAACCCCCCGAACAAATCTGTTTGCTGTCTCAATGGGGGCCGTAATGAACCTTTTAGGGGTTGTCATTAACATTTTAGGGGTTTTTATATATATCTATTTATTTATTTTTATTTATTTATTTATTTTTTTGTCATGCATATTTTGGGGTTGTTATAAACATATGGGGGTGTTATGATGTTATGAATATTTTGGGGGCCATTATAAATATTTTGGAAGCCATTATGAAACTTTTGGGGGGCACACCCTATGTTTTTAAATTAGTGACGTCATCGGTGATGTCATCAGATCCAGATCAGCATAAACTTTGAGTTTTTTTTTTTTTCTGAGTCTGAGTCTTCTTCCGGGTGGATTTCAGCCGTTATGAACATTTTAGGGGTTGTCACAAACATTTTAGGGGTTTTTGTTTTTATTTATTTATTTATTTCATTTTTTAATCATTTTTATTTATTTATTTTTTTAGGGGGTGTTATGATGTTATGAACATTTTGGGGGGCATTATAAATATTTTGGAAGCCATTATGAAACTTTTGGGGGGCGCACCCTATGTTTTTAAATTAGTAAAGTCATCCTTGATGTCACCGGTGATGTCATCAGATGCAGATCAGCATAAACGTTTGAGTTTAGTTCTTTTTTGCTGAAATCCTTATAGTCTGTGCTTCTTCCGGGTGGATTTCAGCCTCCTTCCTCTCCTCCTGCAGGTCCCACTCGCTGCCAGAGGGCGGAGGCCGGATT